TCTATGAAAATTTCGACATTCAGGCCGGTAAATGTTGTTTAATACTGTTTATTATAAACAGAGCATTTACTTAAATATTTGTATCTATAAAAAGAATGTATAAACATAAAAATGTCTTAAAATAATTGTCGGACTTTGTCCATTACATAATATATATATATTTTTAGTGGGCTCAGCAATTTTCAATCTGCTTGTCTGAATCATCTTCAAGAAGCGAGAGCAAGATCTAAAAGATCAGCCAATCTAACAGTGATCTCATCTCACAATTCTCACACCTGCTCCATATGTGGCCTCCTTTGTAAATTACTAGCGGGTCTTAAATGCCACTTAAGATGATCGCATAAACTTTCATAACTGAATCAATAAGCTGGCAGATCCTCATCCGTCGAAACCGACGGGAGAGTCCATTATTATTATTATTATTATTATTATTATTATTATATAAGTTATTAGAGACACAGCATTTATATATATATATATATATATATATATATATATATATATTTAAATGTTGTGTCTCTAATAACTTGTATATATATATATATATATATATATATATATATATGTGTGTGTGTGTTTGTGTATGTATATAGAGAGAGAAATGTTGTGCCTATATCAGCCAAATTGAAAACAATAGTTCGAATTAATAAAACTATATTGACAATTATGCATATTAGAAATGAAATTAAAAAAAAATTAAAAAACGCGTTATGGACCCACCATGATAACAAAATGTCGAAACCAACTGACACTGAATATAAAATGCTCCAAAAATACATCATTAACCCATTGAACCCTGAAGACCGTTTTAACGGTGGTAGAGAAAAATGACTTAATGCCCAGTCGCCGGTTGAGCGGTGGGTAAACACTTGCGTCGTGTTTTGCTATTGGTTGTCTTATTTGGGTAGACTGGGACATAAGGAATAAATTCTGGTGATAAAGTGAAGGCATGAAATCATACTCTTTCCCTGCTAAGTATAATGCTTATATTTCTTGTAACTATTTTTATATCTACCGTAAATCATTACATACCAATTATTTGCTAATTTTAACTCAGGAGCTCAGAGAGCAAAGGTTAAAATTGTTCAGGAACGCAAGTCTCAAAGTGTTAATATATTTCGGGAAGTTGGCGTAATTGGATGTAGGAGCTGGTTATAGTGCCCCCTTAGTTCAACATGAACGAACAATAACACTTGGATCCAATCATTCTATAGGCACCTGATGAAGGCCAGAGGGCACTTGACCGAAATGTTGTCTTTCATAACATCAATATCAACCAGGATGATTGATTTATCGATTTGTTTTTTACGATTTATCAACCTTATACAGGATATTTAAAGGCAGAAAATATTATTAGGTTGCAAGAATTTTTTTTTTTTAGATAATAATAAGTGATACAAGTCCTACTACTTAACCCGTAGTGAGAGGAGATAGATTCACATCTTTCCTAGGGGTACTTGCGCGTAAGGGAATATAACGAACACAAATGAAATTGCAACTCTGCTCTCCAATTAACAACCGGATATCCAAGCTTACAAGCAGAGCGGTCACCCATCCAGGTACCGATCAGTTTCGACGTGGATTAATTTCCGTGGTCGCCCTGGAACTAGTGTTACAACGTGATATGGAAGTAAGCCACACCACCCGCACGCTCAACCTTACAACACCTAGTATTCCCAAGTGGTCACTCATCTAGATACTGACCGGACTCGTCGTTGCTTAACTTCGGTGATTGTACGAGAATCGGTGTTTCAACGTGATGTGAGCGTAAACCCATTATTTGCAAATCCAAACTAACGGCTTCTTGTATTCACAAGCGGTCACTCATCTAGATACTGACTGGACTCGATGTTGCTTAACATCGGTGATTATACGAGCACCGATGTTTCAACGTGATGGGACCGTAAACAAATTATCTGCACATCCTAGCTAACAGCACCTTGTATTCCCAAGCGGTCACTCATCTAGATACTGACCGGACTCGACGTTGCTAAACTTCGGTGATTGTACGAGAACTGGTGTGTAAACGTGATGTGACCGTAAACCAATTATCTGCACATCCTAGCTAACAGCACTTTGTATTCCCAAGCGGTCACTCATCTAGATACTGACCGGACTCGACGTTGCTTAACTTCGGTGATTGTACGAGAACTGGTGTGTAAACGTGATATGACCGTAAACCCATTATCTGCACATCCAAGCTAACAGTACTTTGTATTCACAAACACCATCTAGATAATGACCGGACTCGATGCTGCTTAACTTCAGTGATCGCACTAGAACTAGTGTTACAACGTGATATGGGAGTAAGCCACACCACCCGCACACCCAACCTTAGAACACCTAGCATTCCCAAGCGGTCACTCATCTAGATACTGACCGGGCTCGACGTTGCTTAACTTCGGTGATTGTACGAGAACCGGTGTTTCAACGTGATACGACCGTAAACCCATTATGCCATCTGCACATCCAAGCTAACAGCACCTTGAAATCACAAGCGGTCGATAGTGCTTAACATCGGTGATCGCACTGGAACTAGTCTTACAACGTGATATGGAAGTAAGCCACACCCACCCGCACGCGCGCTCAACCTTACAACACCTAGTATTCCCAAGCGGTCACTCATCTAGATACTGACCGGACTCGACGTTTCTTAACTTCGGTGATTGTACGAGAATCGGTGTTTCAACGTGATGTGACCGTAAACCCATTATCTGCACATCCAAGCTAACAGCACCTTGTATTCACAAGCGGTCGCGCATCTAGGTACTGACCAAGATCGAGGTTGCTTAACATCGCATATTGTACGGGAAACGATATTTCAATGTGATGTGACCGTGAACCCATTACGCCATCTGCACATCCAAGCTTGCAACACATCATATTCCCAAGCGGTTACCCACCTAGGTACTGATCAGGCTTGACGTTGTTTAACTTCGGTGGTCGAACGGGAACCGATGAGAACAATAATTCGAAACAATAAAAGAATATAACTGATAATATTAAAGAATTTGATAATGATGAGTGTTGGTTGACATTACTCGAACAAGAAAACGCTTTTAACTCTGGGTAATTTACAAATTTGATCTGGGCGTACTGTAAAAATGTAATAAATATTTGAATAGACAACATTGTTCTCAGACGATTAAAAGAGAGCCGTTTTGTTTTGGCGACGTTAAAATTAACAAGCCATTCCTTGCAACCCCTCCAAAAATCTAAACCTATGGTTTAAAGTGCATTTTAAAAAATGAAAAATCTTTCTTGACTCTTTTATTTTAGTTTCAATTCCAAGCTAATAGATTAAAATTAATATTTCCAATAAGCAAAATGCTTGGCTGTATTCCAAACCGAGTTTAAATTGATTGGATTTTTTTCATCGCTAAAATCAACCCTATAAACAAATTTGTCAACATAACATCATTCTCTTTATTAATAATCTTTCAAAAATAAAATATATTTTTCTGAAACTTTATTTGAGAAAGATTAACTGACCTAAAGTTTAAGTAATTTGAATTTAAACAAATATCACAGAAAAGCATCATTTTAACACGGAGGTGGTTGTTTTAAGTGATTTATTGATAACTTAATATTTGATATTTTTAAGTATAGGGCCCATAACTGTATAAATTAAATTACTTTTAAAAATTTAGGAAGTTTTCTAAGGAATTTATTATTTTATTGACTGTTAGGTACTTTGGCTGTATAATCTTACTTACGAATACACTTGTTGAGATTTTAGAAAATTACCAATAAATTTTAACTTTGCTTTAGTTACCGCTCATATTTTCTTATAATGTTTCGTTTGGTCATCCATATTTACAAAAAATCGACACGTTTATAGACATAAAATAAGTTACCAATAAAATTGAAATTTACTATAATTACCGCTCTTATTTTCTCAAAATGTGGTGTATGGACGTCGGTATTTACAAAAATTGGCACACAAAAAATTCAAATTCTTTTAAAAATACTTGCGGTCGCTGAACTGTAGTAATCTTTTCTATTTATAATTTGTAAATACAGTTTTTACACAATAACAATATAACCTAACCGCGACAAATTAATATAGGAGTTCAAAAGATGTAAATCTTTATAAATTATTGTAATTAATTTTTTTTAAAAATGAAAACAATTTTATTAAATTTCATTATTCATCTAAAAAAACAACTTATTCATAAAAGCAATTAAAAGATTTGTTGATTAAAAAATTTCTTATTTTTATTGCATTTTTTATTTTACGATTCAGAGCGGATTTTCTGTATCTGGGGCTACAAATTGCTGATTTAACTTCTCGAGAGACTTGTCCTTATCGCTAATACAAACCTTAAGCTCTACGGAAATTAATGTCTCAAAATGTCAAAAAATTAAAGAAGTGCTGGGTAGCATATGTAAAAACAAATACTTGTAAAGGTGAAACATTTTTTTAGATTTCATTCATTTGTGAATAATTTCTGAAAATTTTCATTAAAATTTGACAATTATATGATTTTTGCAAGAATTTCCAAATAAATGCGTTTTCACCGCAAAAAGAGACGCTAAAATTCTTCCATCATAATTTATGGTCAGAAAGAGAAAAAAATTAACAAAAGTTTTTAAGGTTCTGACAAGATTTTTATTGCTGGTAATATATTTTTTTCAAACGATGTTAAGATGAAACAGTCATCCAACAGTTAAGCTTTAATATTGAAATTAAACTTGAATATGGATGACCAGTTTCGAAACATGGTAATTTCTGTGTCGCGATGGAATCATATTTTTAAAAAATAATTATAATCATACTTATTATAAAACCCAGGTTGTGTGTGTGTGTGTGTGTGTGTGTGTGTGTGTGTGTGTGTGTGTGTGTACGTTTATATATTGCATCAGATTTCCTACATTTTTCAACCGATTTCAACAAAACTTCACAGGACTACGTAAAATTACCTTGCGGTGGTTCTGACAGTGCCAAAAATTGAAAAACACAATTGTTTTTGCACGAAATCAATTTGAAAACACGATTAAAAGGCATCGCTGTTTCGAGAATGAAAGGGGGACAATTCATATCGAGTTATACTTATTATAAAACCCACGTTGTTTGTTTGTGTGTGTGTTCGTTTATATATGGGATCGGATTTCCTACATTTTTCAACCGATTTCAACAAAACTTCACTTTTTTTGGCAGGTAGTGTCTTGCACACTTTTTTCTTTATTTTTACATTCAGAATGCTTTAAAAATTCTATTTACAAGACAATTGTTTATGATAAAATTGAAAAATTATATTCAATCGGTAGACTCATAACGATTGAAAACAATGTTTTCGTTTGAGTTTGGGTTTGACCAATTCGTAAAAAAAAAAAAAAAAAAAAAAAACTAATTAAGACATGCGTGTCCGTCAACCTTAAACAATAATCTTTGTCAATTTTATTTTTCAGTCTTTATGATGGCCAATACTTGATCTATCTCTTACTGTTACATCCCCGGGCAACGCCGAGCTCTACTGCTAGTTTCCGATATTAATCGCACTTCCTCCATAAATATAGTAAATTTTAAACTATGTAATCATATATGTGTATGTGTAATTTATTTAGAATATGTTATGTTGCTATCATGCACCCTACGACATAACGCTTGACATTTCTTTTTTATTTCTTTTCCAGGCCAATTACATCCCCACGAATGGCCAGACTGCTTCGAGATGCTGTTTTTATCGAAGATTACCAGAACTACTATCTGTCCACCAACCGGTTTTCAATTCAGATTTGGTCTTCTTCTAGACTGGTTACCAACCAAGGCTAAACAGTTTCTTTCTGCCCATTAGTACACCGACCGGTTTTGATTTCAGAGTTGTCTTTCATAGAGACTGGCTGCCAACCAAGGCTAAAGAGCTTGTATATGCCCATTAGCACAAAAACCGGTTTTAAATTAAAATTTACCCTTCCCTAGACTGGTTGCCAACCACGAATAAATAGCTCTTAGCTACTCTTGAGCACACTAACCGGTTTTGAATTCAGAGTTGTCCTTCTTTTAGACTGGTTGCTAGTCAAGGCTAAAGAGCTACTATCTACCCATTAACACAAGCTACTGACGGTTTCCACACAATTTCATCTACTCAATTTCCCTCGCAGGGCTTGAGTCAACACGTGGGGTGGTTTTCAGGTACTTCCAGACCCTACTGCAGGCTGTGATCGTCTGATTTTGGTGAGATTCCAAAACTGGATCTCATGATTAGAACACTAACATTCTAATCATTCGGCTACGCATCCAATTCAACTTGTTTATTTTCTCCCCGCAAAAGATTGCGCAAGTTACGTGATTTAAGTACTTCTTTCATATTTAAATTATTTATTTATAGGACGATATTATCAAAGAACCAATTCCTTGTCTAATCGACGATGGTCAGATTCGAACCCGGAACATTCTACGTATTAAGCTAGTAGCTTTTAATTACATGCAATGCAATTAAACATTTAATATGGATTGAATTTGTTTGTTTAGCGGCATATCAACTCCTTATGGGTCAATTAATGCCGAAATTCCTTGAGAGATTTGGAGGAAGAAAAATATGTTATTCTGCTTTCACAGTTGAATACATGGTAGATGAGACTCAGCTTTTATGCATCTTTGTGTGGATATAATTACTAGAAGCAGTGATGTGTGTGTTTTATGTTGACTTTGAAGTTATATTTTGGAATACAGTTTGATTTAAGAAATTGTAGGATATGGATAAATGTCATGAAAATTATTGATTGATGTATTGTTGGTAATTTTACTATAAATATGTATTGATGGGAATTTTTTATATAAAAATGTATTACTGGTATTTTTATTATAAAGATGTATTTTTATAGTGTTTTGATTTTGTTTGGGCATTCACTATTTGCCCATAGTTTGGTCCCTAACAGGTGCTACCACCTCGGGTCAGGATGGATCTGGGAACAACAGCAATTAGGAGGTATTTCCACACTTCTCAATATCTCCAATTTCTTGATCCGCAGCCTTGCTGCCGGATGTAGTTTATCGTCATACCCAGGATTATAAATATTTAATACATGATAGTTTTGCTTTTCATTATTTCCAAAACATTTTCCTCCCGATTTTTTTCAATTCGTATTGTAACAGATCGTAAAGTGATTTGTCATTGGACTTATAATAGAGTCATCTCATCCACTTTCTGGCTTCGGCTCAAGATTTTTCGAATTATTTTACCTGCTATTCTGATTATCACCTAACTCTGTTATTTTAATTATCGATATTCGCATTTATGGGCCGCATTTCGGGAGCAACTCTGCGTCTAAACAGCAAATGAGGACGTCTCTTCTCACGGCACACTGAACCCCGATTTGCCATTCTTGTATCTCCTTCCTCCATTGAAAGGTGAAGCAGCCTCGCCCATCTGTCAGCCATGTGTCACGCCACGTGACCCTGGCACCTACAGAAAATATTCGCAAACATCCATTGCTGATATCCCCCCTCTCACCCGTCTTTTACACTTGCACTCAGAGATTCTTCACTCCACTTAACGCAAACCACCGACACAATAATAATAATAATAGGAAGGAGGAGGAGGTGTTGGTCGCGGTGGTGGCGTTGGTAGTGGGGGAGGAGGAGAAAGAGGTGGAGAAAGAGGAAGAAGAGGAATAAGAAAGAGGTGGAGGAGGAGGAGAATGAAGAGGGGAGAGGGGGAAGTACCTGCCTCAATACCGGATAGCTGTTCGCCGTTCTGTTAACTAATATGAAATAGCGGCGGGTGGGGGTGATGGTGGTGGTGTTGTGGTGGTGGTGGTGGTGGTTCGGAGAGATAAGTGCTATTTCTCTTCATTTCATACACTTACACAATTATGGATTTTTTCGCCGCTCTTTAACCAAGTCAATTCTCGCAACGATATGACGTTGAGCGTTTGAGGAAATTTATCGCATGATGGCCCCTAATTCATACACCAGCTTCATGCCAGACTGCCTCTCAGCGGACACAGCCCCCGGGGCGCTGAACAAATCACAGATGATCAATTCTCAAACATCCATTACCATTATTAGTAATATTAGTATTGACACGGTGGGAACAGCCGCTTTTTATATAATCTCATTTATCGGTCTTGTTGTTTTCATTATCATCGTCATTAATGAAATATTTTACTCCTGTCTTAGTTAAGAGGAACTATTTATGGATCCCTGTTGTTTGCGATAAACTCCTGGTCGTACCTACAGTGAAAAAACAGCTTTGTTTTATGGCTTCTCACTATTTAGAAATGTCATCGCAGCCATATTTAAAGCGAAAAATAACAAATGTTTCTACAATTCTTTGCTCTTCATTATTATGTGACACTAAGAAGGAAGACCTTTTAAGACCAATAATAAGTTTCTATTTGTAGCAGTATTTGGCTTGACTGCCAAAGCTTTTGCCGATAACGTTTTTTTTTGTTGTTTTTTTTAATCTTTTTCTGTTAATTCACCCCAAATAATGTAAATAATGTATCACAAATAATTATTTATCACAAATATTAATTCGCCCCAAGAAATTATAAATTTTAAATCAAAATTTGTTTAGTTTGCCTCGCAACAACTTCATCCCTCGGAATGAAAATTTACCAAGAATCAAAGAGTTGTTAACATTTCGTAAGTGCGAATGATATTCGAGGCACTTACTAGGAATTCTTTTACAATTTAAAAAGTAAAAAAAAATGTTTTGAGGTGTTTATCGGGATGAGCGCGAACGTTGACCACTTAAAAATAGCACACCTGAGTCGCCCACATTTGTGGCGATCGCAATGGTCAACTCAACCGGAATACAATGGTAGGGACTCGCTCTGAGAGGATTTGGTGTGAATTAATAATTTGGGTGGAATTAACAGAACATATTCCATTCTTTTTAAACTGATGAATATATGTAGTTGGCTGAAGACACAGAGTCTTGTAGCCAGTCCGGAGTGCCTCTGAAGAAAACAGAATCTGCATTTCTAAAATAAGGAATGAATGAAATAATGGATAGCAGCACGAAATAGGAGAGCCGAGTACGAATTCCTGTCGAGTTTATTACACTTCACTTCGTCGTGGTGTAATGGTTAACAAGCTTGTATCGCTAGATCAATTATGATTGAGTAGTGTGTTCGATCCTCACCGGGTGCCCTAGGCTTTCGGCCTCATGCAACATTTAAGCTACGATCAGAAAATCGCCATTATATTTAGTTTACGGGCCAATATTGAAGTTATGAATCCATCTCTTCTCCCCCAGCTATGAGTTAAATAGCAGGACAGGCTTCGATCTATAGCCTTGGGTGGAAACCGGTCTAGGAGAAAGACATCTCTGAATTCAAAACCTGGAGAGGCTTGTTTGGGAACCTTCTCTCTTCATCCTCAGCCTGGGGTAAATAGCAGGACAAACTGATTCGAAAGTAATTCTGCGTCTAAACAACAAAATAAGGCATCTCTTCTCACGGCACACTGAACCTCGATGTGCCATTGACAACCAGTCTAGGAAAAGGAAATCTCTAAATTCAAACCAACCTGGAAAGGGTTGGGCTCCGACAGGCCATCTTAGCCGGGAAACACTTCTGCGGCTGTAGTGCATGTTGTGCTCCTAGAACTCTAATGGTGCTCGTAGTCATGAAATAAGAAAATTCAAGAAATGTTGATATATTTGTAGGGTATTTCTTTAAATGTGACCTGTTACATAGAGTCATTCATCTGGAGCAATTTATCCCTAAAAGGAAGTAAGCCGACTGCATAACCAATATATTTAGTTTCAGTTTGACGACCTAACATGATTGCTCCAACTAAATGAGCCTATGATTAATTGATTGATTTGTCTTTTACGGCTTATCAACCCTTTGCAGGTTATTTAAAGCCAGAAAATATTTTTTAGATTGTAAGAATATATTTTGGCGATAATAATGGTTTACAAGTCTTACTAATTTCTTCTTTTAATTTCTTCTGCTTAATCAGTAGATTGATTGATTGATTCGTTTTCTACGGATTATCAACCCTTTGAAGGTTATTTAAAGCCAGAAAATATTTTTTGGATTGTAAGAATATATTTTGGCGGTAACAATGGTTTACAAGTCTTACTAAGTTTTTCTTTTAATTTCCTCTGCTTAATCAGCAGATTGATTGATTCGTTTTTTACGACTTATCAACCCTTTGCAGGTTATTTAAAGCTAGAAAATATCTTCAGATTGTAATTTATTTTATTTTTTTTTTGTGAAAATAATGAAGTCTTAAAATTAAACCCATAGATGGGTGGAGAAGAGGTGGATTCATACCTAATCAAAATTTGATAGACAAGAAATTGTACAGTGGATATAAAGTGGAGGATCAATTCTATATTATAATAAATATATTAACTGATCCCTCACTTTGTGGTCACGATAGTTTCTATGCATTTATATTCCAGAGAATGAGAATGTAAATAAATCTAAAAGATATGCCTGTGTAGCTAATTCGATTGATTCGTTTTTATGGCTTATCAACCCTTTGCAGGTTATTTAAAGCCAGAAAATATTTTTAGATTGTAAGAATTTTTTTGAGAAATTTAATGTTACATGGCATACTAATTAACCCACATCTGGGGAGAGAAGTGTTAGTTTCATACTTTTCCCAAGAGCAACTGAATATAATGAATCCAACTGGAGTTTGAAAGTCTGGTTAGTATCTAGATGAGTGACTGCTTTGGAATACCAGGTGCTGTAAGCTTGGATATGCTTAGTGATTTCAGCCGGGTTCGTTATATTCACTTACGCGCAAATACCATTTCGGAAAAGTATGAATCCCCCTCTTCTGCCCCTCTACTTTTATGTGCTATGTCCTTTCAGGACGTAGGCGATCATGGCTCTCCACCTCCTTCTATCCCTTACAGATCTCAACAAGTTCCTTCCCTCTGCTTCCTCCCCCAGACCACGTTCTGTCATCCACTTGCTTAAGTCCGCCAGGTATGTCACGCGTTGTTTTCCCTCGTCTCTGTTTCGCTCTATTCGACCTGTGAGTATCAGATTCTCCAGTCTCTCCTTTCTCATTATGTGTCCCAGAAACTTCAGCTATCTGTTCTTAATATTAATTATAAGCCTCCTCCTTGTTTGTATCCTCTCCAAGACTTAATCGTTGCACGCTCGCTCGCTCGATCCATGGTACCATCAATATCCTTCTGTAGAATCACATCTCCGTCGCCTCGAGTCTCTTCTTCATGTTTGAGAAATTGTCCAACATTCACTGCCGTAAAGAACGTCCAGTTGTCATGTAACGGTTCAGTATTCTTTTCTTTGTTACCAAAGATATCAACCTGTCTCGCAGTACTCTGTCCAGTTTTTGGGATGTGTCCTTGGCCATCCAAATACGCCTACAGATTTCAGTATCGCATTTACCTTCTTCTGTCAAGACGCTTTCCAGGTATTTAAATTTCCGCGTCTGCTTGATTCTAGTTTTCCCGATCTTCAGATCGCATTTTGGGCTCATCCTCTTACTGACGACAATGCACTCCGTCTTCTTGTAGTTTATGCTTAGTCCCTTCTTCTCACTCTCCGTCATTACCTTCTGTGGGAGATTTTGTAATTTCATTTCCGTGTCTGCTATCAGTACTGTGGCATCTGCGCATCTTATGGTGTTAAGATTGTGGCCTCTCACCTATGGGTTAATTAGTAGGCCGTATCAGTAAATCATTATCCCCAAAGATTCTTACAATCTAAAAAATGTTTTCTGCCATTAAATAATGCACAAAAGGTTGATAAACCGTAAATCACAAATCAATCAATCAATAACGACTTTTCTGTTTTCTTTTTTGGGGGCTTGGGCTGGAGCGGGCCAATACTCACTTTTCAGCTTTGATAATTCAAAATGACTAAGACAGCCTTGTGAAGGAAGAGTTATTCTCCACGTTGCAGCTGCTTTCCCACATTCGCCCATCGCCCGGTTCACACACCTCCCTGGTCTTTTGAACAGGAGTATGGGTTTATTCCTTGTTGCCTGTTCAGGATTGGGTTTCCAGTTCGTTCTAAAATCTTCTTATTCTCTTTGACTTCAAGTAACTTCTTGCGTCTTAGTGGTATTATCGCCTTGCTTGGGGTGAATTGAAAAAAAAAAACACGTAACGTCGCAAGTATGTCACTTTTCTATCGCTATTTTCATGGTAACTCAATTCTTTAATTCCACCAGTTCAGACTTTTACCGCTATGACACATCACACTACTTCTACGGAGCCGAATCACCCTTATTTCTACAGTGTTCCATTCTTGGAGATTTTTATAAAGTGATGCCACTACGTGGAACAGACTCTCGCCTTGTTACTTTCCTGAATGATAACCTTTTCAATTCAAAGGTCAATCCTTATTTATCCTCCCTAGCTTCATAATCCCTTACTTTCTACGACCTTCTCTTTTATTTATATCAGATATCTAACTCTTAATTACCATTGTAACTGTAACCTTCTATATTAAGTGGTTCTTGAGCCTCGTGAAATTTTGCATTAAAAATAGTTTCGTTCAGAGAATGAGACAGAGTGAAAAAATGTTTCATGATTTCTATTAGTATTAAAATG